CTCCTCTGATTTAAGATGTAAGCCCATCAAAATTACTTCCTAATGAGATAGGGACATGATATCAACCTCTTGAGGATTGGTATAAGATCTCCTTCACTAGAATATGACATATGCTCTCTGTTGCTAGTTAGATGTATAGCCCTTCCTAAATGGAATCACAGTTTTCCTCTAGCTTACATGTTCTTCTCTTAGTTAGGATGAAAGCCCATCAACATTCCTTCCTAATGAGATAGGGACACTACATTGGCCTTTTGAGAATTGGTATAAAACCTTCTTCAATGGAATATGACATATGTTCTCGCTCGCTAGTTGAATGTATAACCCTCCTTAAATGGAATCACATCTTTTCTCTAGCTTACCCGTTCTCCTCATATTTAGGATGTAAGCCCATCGACATTCCTTTTCTAATGAGACAAAGACATGATATTAACCTTTTGAGAATTGGTATAAGACCTTCTTTAATGGAATATGACATCCATTCTCTCTTGCTAGTTGGAAGTAAGGCCGTCCTTAAATGGAATCACGACTTTCCTCTAGTTTACATGTTCTCATCATAGCCAGAATGTAAGACCATCAATATTCCTTCCTAATGAGACAGAGACATAACATTGACCTTTTGAGAATTGGCATAAGGCCTCTTTCAATGGAATATAATATTCATTCTCTCTCACTTGTTGGATGTAAGGCCCTCCTTAAACAGAAACACGACTTTACTTTAGCTCACATGTTCTCCTCTTAGTTAGGATGTAAGCCCATATATATTCCTTTCTAATATGATAGGGACACGACATCAACCTCATGAGGATTGGTATAAGACCTCCTTCAATGGAATATGACATCCATTCTCTCTTGCTAGTTGGAAGTAAGGCCGTCCTTAAATGGAATCACGACTTTCCTCTAGTTTACATGTTCTCATCATAGCCAGAATGTAAGACCATCAATATTCCTTCCTAATGAGACAGAGACATAACATTGACCTTTTGAGAATTGGCATAAGGCCTCTTTCAATGGAATATAACATTCATTCTCTCTCACTTGTTGGATGTAAGGCCCTCCTTAAACAGAATCACGACTTTAGTATAAGACTTTCTTCAATGAAATATTGGATCTGTTCACTCTCGCAAGTTGGATGTAAGGCCCTTATTGAATCGAATCACAACTTTCCTCTAGCTCACATGTTCTCCTCTTAGTTAGGATGTAAGCCCATCAGCATTCAAACTAGGGAAACCTTAAGAGAATTGGTATAAGACCTATTTCAACAGAATTTGAAATACATTTTCTCTCATTAATTGGATGTAAGGCCCCCTTAAATGGAATCACGATAGTAGACAAACTGATGACTTGAAAAAAGCTGGTGGTCGATCGTGTTGGTCCTCCCCTTGTCAGAGTTTTGACGAGGGACCATCAACTTGGGCATGGTATCGCTTCTTTGATTTGCCAAGTGAATGCCACTCCCGCGAGCTACAAGCACCCACATATGCTCTTCCCATCGTCTGCTTGCCTGCGTGGACAAGCCAGTGTAGTGTGTTGGGACTCGCCTTGTCCCCTCTGTCAGCTGGTTGCTAACTTGGTTGTCAAGGTATGGTGGGTTCGTCGGTATGGGCCTCTAAGGGCGGACCCTTTAAGGTTATGCCTCCTGATGAGGCATCTGGTCGTTTCTCTTGGTGATTATTTTATGGAGGATCTCAAATTGCTCCATCATGAGAGTCATCTAGGCTTGCAACCCTTGTACCTACATCTGAATGTCTGGTTGTGCAGTCTCTTTATTGAATCCCATGCACACTATCTTTCTTTGAGAATTTTTTCCTTCTTAGTTTGCTCCGCTTCTCATCTGGGCATGTCCATGCTCAGCTCACCTCTTTTTTTATGATGTTGTATCTTAGTTTGTTCTTTATGGATCATGCTTTGAGAGTTAGAGTTGGATGAAGGAGAGAAGAGAGTATAATAAGTTTGAGATCTTTGAAGGAAGAATTAAGGGAAATATTTTTGCCTCGTACTTATGGATGCGCTCTTTGTACAATTACCTAAAGAAGGGAACGATTATGGAAACAATTTGAATGTCATTAAAGTTTTAATTGATTGTATAAATTTTATGTCATATTTGTATTCCAATTTAAACTTCAATAATGACGGTAATTAGCTCATTAGCTGGCTTGAAGTCAACTGACTGAGACGACTAGCCGAGTGGCATCTGTGCCCCATGGAGTACACGTTGTTCAGTTGAGGTGGTCGACCGTATGAGGTTCTTGCTTGGTGTCTTTTAGCATGATCCACCATAGCTGTTGGTTGTGAGGCGGTTGTTTGGTCTGGATGAGGGGTTGGTCGGTCGAATGTGATCGAGCGGTTTTTTTCTAAGTAAGTCATGACTCATTTTCTGCTCGGTTAGAGTCTTACAAGGCTCGTGTCTCACCTAGCTAGTTAGTTCATCGCCTTGGTCGGATCTCTTAATCTTGCATGATCTTATGTGGAACTTGTTGAAGCCCATGTAGGGTATCTGACGAGACTCGCTGCCGGATGATTCATGCCTCACTTTCGGTAGGTCTTGTCGCTACCGAGTGGCAAACCAACTTCTGAGCTTGAACCTATCTTAGGTTTGGAGATATGGCTTTATGACTGAGCTTAGATCATCAGTTGATTGCTTACCTCGAAAGAAGACTATTTCCTCTTGATCGTTCATTCTTTTTAAGTTTCATGATGGTATTTTTGGTATATGTACATATAAATATCTAATCTCTCTTAAGAACAAAAAAAATATAATCATAAAGTATTTTTGGTATCTGACGAGACTTGCTGTCGGGATGATTCACACCCACTTTCGGTAGGTCTTGTCGCTACCGAGCGGTAAACAAACTCCTGAGCTTGAACCTATCTTGGGTTTGGAGACATGGCTTTATGACTGACCTTGGATCATCGGTTCATTGCTTACCTCGAATGAAGATTCTTTTTCTATTGATCGTTCATTCACTTTGACTTTCGTGATGGTATTTTTGGTATATATACATATAAATATCAAACTCTATTAAGAACAAAAGAAATATACCAAAAAAAAATTGATGATATTTTTATGAATACAAATACATTTCTTTAAATATTAGTATTTCAGGACGTAACAACATAAATTCTGTTTTACTTGAAGTCACGACATTAAATTAAAAAATAATTTTAGATGTAGATTTATTCAAGGGTGCCTAGCTTTATACAATTATTCCACTCTAATTCGTCCACCAAAAGTTTTTCCAAATGAAACATAATATGTTAATCTTGCGATATAAAGGCAGTATTTGGTTGTATCTCAAATTACCTTGAATAGGGTTTAGTAAATTCAAATTATCAAATCCATTTTGGTGGAGAAAAAACTTCAAAGCCGCACAACAATAAATCCCATAAATTCATCTGCTACTAGAATTTAATAAATCCAGATTTATGGCCCACTTGGGGCAGCTTATTCAGGTGCGACGGCGTTTTCAAAACTCTGCCGCATCGTTTGAAAAGGGCGTTCGACGAGCGTTTTCATGCCGCTCCAAAACGCTGCAGTTATTTCATAATAGGGAGGCGACACAGGGACATTGCCACGTTCGACGTTCGCGATCGGCGTTTAGGAAAAAATTTCTTCCGTGCCCTTTGGTGATCTCTCTAAATCTCCATTCCCTCTCCCGCTCCATCGTTTCTTCTCGCGACGACTTTGATGAGTAGCTGCGCCACCCTCATCCAACCCTAACCCCCCTCTCGATTAGTCTCGATTTCTGTTTTCATTACCTACTCGAAGGGATATGTGGGGAACCTTATTCCTGCGAGTTTCTCATCCCTGTTCTTCCATCTCCTTGTCTTCCGTTTACACCTCCATCACCAACTTCGTCAAAGATAGCTTCTTTTTGAAGAAAGCTTCGATCTTGGATTCGAGAACACCATTTAATGAAGGTTACAACATGTTCTCTCAATTGGATCTCTGTAACCAGAGATCTCGTCAAAGAATTCTCTCTGTTGCGAGGTTCAAGGGGTTTGCCAGCGTTGCTGAGGCAGTTGAAGCTATTTCATCAACTATTAAACCAACAAAGTTATTCACATAAAACCAAAAATTCTCCTAGTAAAGGTAATACTTGTAGAAGAAAATAAAGCTATTCTTCTAAAGACGGAACACTTCTAATGGAGAAAAGTTTTTAAGTAACATTTCATAACTAGTAGTCCGATTGTAGAATCAAAAAAATTACTCAAATTTGTGCCCTCTGCTCTAAGACTACTGGAAGAATTTAAAAGTATATTTTGCATGAAAATGAATTATTATATTTCATCAAACAAAACCATGAGAAAAGCGAAGGAGCAAACATATACACAATCATGACCAACTAATCTAATAGGACACAATAATTAGCAGGATATTTGTGATTTAGAGTTTTAAATTTAACGTTTTTATTTTTTTAATTATAATTGTAACTGTAATTCTCCTTATTTTATTTCTTTTGATACCCACGAAATGGTGAGCAATGCATTTCAATTTTTATAACTGAACTGTGATAGTTTGAGACATCTGTTCTATCTATAATTTTTCATATACAGTTCTGTTGCAAACAACTTAACTAAAGAAGTACAGAATGATCATTTATCCAAAAACAGCTGTCAGTAAGCTGTTCTGAATAAGCTGCCTCAAACAGATAATCTACAGATTATCAGATTATCAGAATAATCTACTTATCAACAACTGCCTTTAACAGACCCTTAAACAGAGAGAACGTAAGAAAATTTGATTTAACTTATATTTAAGGTACAATTGTTTGGTATTTGACTTGATTTAAACTTAAATTCGTCTATTAAAAGACTATCAAATACCTCTTAAGATGGTACTTCACTGCAAGTTTTATGCTCTGTCAAGTTCATTAAATTTGAATTTATTAAATATAATAAGCAATGAAAATGATGAAAATGAAGCTCACAAGAGATAACGAAATCAGTTTATCTAACAGGATTTAGAACTTAAATCCAAACATCTAATAGTATCGTTACGCGTCGGTAGGCCTCACCCCCTGCCTGCGGTGTGGCTATTTTGAAAGACGACAAGTTCGGTGGGGAAAGTAAACTGGCAGCTACCCTATTCATTGATGATGGCCGCATCCGCCCACCACAAAAGCCTGTCCTCTTCCCAGTCGCACACACAGCCCCACCCTCCTCCCAAATCCAAGCGTCGCAAGAACACCACCAACCTCTCAGCCACCTCCTCCTCCATCCCCGACGTCGTTTCCTCCAACAGCGTCTGGTGCTGCCCCGCTTTAAAGCCCCATCCAACAACCTCTTCCGCCTTTTCCTCTCCTTCTCACCATCCTCGCCGCAACTTTACTCCCACTCCGCCGCTGCCGCTCCCTCTAAACAATCCGGCCATTTCAACCTTGCCCGAAGCTGTCGGGGCTTCCCCTCCAATGGACGTCTCTCCTGGCTCGGGATACCCTGTCTATCCTTCCTGCTACAGCAAGTTCAACTCCGCGCTCAATGCCGGCCTCCTAAACCCCATGTCGCCTCCCCCTGTGGATAAGACGCGATCCAGCCCCACACTCTTCGACATGATGGCAAATGAGCAGGAATACCACCCCAGGACCGGCGCTATGCACTCTGCGGGTCAAGTCCTTCCAAACGGGAGGAACCCTGCCGTTTCTGCACAGGACCGCCAGATCCTACTCCAGGAACGCGTTGCAGAGATCCTCGGCAGCTGCAGCCCTGGCAACCAGTTCAACGATCAGGAAACTGGCGACGTTCGCCTCACTCTCAGTTCCAAGGATGGCCTCTCTGTGTCTCTCAGCGTCCACCGTCACATCCTCGTTGCTCACAGCAGATTCTTTGCCGCCAAGCTCTCTGATCGCTGGTCTAAGCAGCAGCGCTCCCTACCTCACCTCGTTGAGATATCTGATTGCGACGATATTGAAGTCTATATCGAAACTCTTCGACTCATGTACTGCAAGGACCTTCGGCACCGTCTCCTGAGAGAGGACGTTTCTAAAGTCCTTGGCATTCTTAAGGTATTTAAATAAGGAAATCTCCTTCTATTTTTGACCCATTTTCGACCTCCATTCTTGATCTTCCGGTCTAATAGATTAATATTCCTTGGATAGATTTCTGCGGCGATCGCGTTTGATGCCGGGGTTTTGTCTTGTCTGGAGTACCTAGAGGCCGCCCCATGGACGGAAGATGAGGAGGAGAAGGTAGCATCTGTTCTTTCCCAGCTCCATCTAGAGAGCTCTGGGGCCGGGGAGGTTCTCAAAAGGGTCTCCCTCGAAGTAGTCCCATCATCAGTGGAGGAAGCAAATGGGCATGGGGCTGGCGGAAACGGTGAAGAGATACTTTTGCGTCTACTCCAGGTTGTTTTGGAGGGGAAGGACGAGAAGGCCAGACGGGAGATGAAGGGCCTCGTCTCCAAGATGCTGTGCGAGAATAACAGCGGGCGGGGTGGCACCGGGGACCTTAGCAAGGAATCCCTCTTGTCCGCCTGCGAAGGCTGTCTCCGCCTCCTTCGTTTGCATCTCCTCCGTGCAGCCTCTTCCGACGTCTCCGAAGCTGCCCAGATTGCGAGGCAGGCCGATAACCTCCATTGGATACTGGACATCCTTATCGACCGACAGATTGCAGATGAATTCCTGCGAACATGGGCGGCCGAGACGGAGCTTGCTGAGGCGCACCCGCAGGTGCCCGCCATCCACCGCTACGAGGTGAGCCGAATCACATCGAGGCTGTTTGTAGGCATTGGCAAAGGTCAAATATTGGTATCGAAGGAGGCGAGGTGCCTGCTGTTGAAAACGTGGTTGGAACCGTTTTATGAGGACTTCGGGTGGATGCGCCGTGCCTGCAAAGGACTTGACCGCCACCTCGTTGAAGACGGGCTCGGCAACACTATACTGACGCTGCCATTGGCGACGCAGCAGGAGATTCTCCTTGCTTGGTTTGACCGCTTCCTCAACTCTGGCGACGACTGCCCAAATATCCAAAGAGGCTTCGAGGTGTGGTGGCGGCGGGCTTTCTGGCGCCGAAATGGAGAAACCAGTAGGCCACCCCAGCTTAGGATAACAGCTTCTTGCGAGAATTCTTCTTGATTTCTTTGGCATGGTTGCTGATGTTTTTTCAGCCTTCAGGTTCCTTTTTTCTTTTAATACATTTTTCTTTTAATGTCACAAAGGGTTTAGTTTTTTTCCTTTCTTTGTAGATTTTTGTGGGGTTTGGTTCTATTCTTCCTTTCTATATGTGGAATTGTGTGAGGTTTATGACAGGTTAGTCTGACTGTGGGTAGAAATGAAGCAGGAAAATGTGTATTCTATTAGTGTAGGAGGGAGAGTGTTTGGGAGAATGAGTTATCCAATGCTTCTAACTATAACGTTTAGAGCCTTAATTTTCATGCTTTTATTTGGTTATCTTTCACTGCTTTTCTGAAAATCTGCATTATTTTTGTAATTTGCTCTTGTGATGCAAATTTAATGTATTTGAAAGTTATCAGTGGGCACAACTGGACCTAAAATTTATAACAAATTGAATTTGGGGTAACCACGTTGATGTATCGCTCAAGCTGCTCGCCGAATTCCATTCCTCATAATTGCTCTGTTACTTGTCTTGATTAGTTTTTTATAATCTTTAATCACTAATCTTCTCTTTTTTTGTTTGTGTTTCCATCAGTGATGTTCCCTCCACATTTAAAACACGAATCAGCTCTCATCGTCGCATTAATCACCATTAGTCGAATTAGTTATTTCATTTGCTAGTTGCTAGTGGGATCTATACCACAACTGAATGGTACCTGAGGCACCGTTTTTTATTACTAAACATTATAATTTCAATAGAAGGCGTTTTCTCTCCATTTTTCTCCATCTTCTAATGAATATCGATTTTTTCCAAAATGGTTTCAACGAGAGATGGCGGTCAACATCTAGCATGCAACTGTAAATATACCTGGGAGGTCTTGCAGGAAACTTAGATTATCCTCCATAATGTTTGGATGAATTGACCATAGAGTTCCAACAATTTATCATTGAGGTTCAACAAGAGCTTTACAGTATTATAAATTGCAATCTCACTCTGCTGGTAATCACACCAGGCTATCAGGCCACCACAACAGCGTTTTGTGATTTTATTATGTGAATTTTAGGCATTCCCAATACTTGATTTTGACATACTTTGGGCTTCCTTGGTCTTATGAGGAGTGAAACTGTCGTTGGCAATGTCCATATGATGAACCATATGTTTTTGAAAGCACATATCGGCGATGATACCAGGAAGGCAGGAGTTATAATGAATTCAAGTTAAAACTTGACATTCCATTCTTTGATGATTAACTTCATATTGAGGATTGTCTTATTCTTTTTTTTTTTTTTGGTTAAGGGTGAGTATTATCTTGGTTAGGAAGAAACTGTTGATACGACTGAAATATTGTGAAACACAAGCGATAAATGCAAACATATGTGCCGTCCAGGCAATATACTGAACTGAGTGCGTGTATCAATCCCACGAGGAACGAATGAACTCCCTGAGTCTGAAAAATTCTAGTTTAACATGAATGTTTGAAATTGGGTTATTTTTGAAAGTATATAAACTTAATTTTTACACAAAGTTAAAACTTATAGTAGTTTTGGGTTTGAACAAATAATAGAAAGCGTCTCTTGAATTTATCCTATGCCGATAAGTTCCATCTAAGTAATATTAATGAAATCGCAACCCTCCCGGTTTGCAAATTTTTCTATATGATTGCATCACTCTAACAACAATATTCCTATTCTCATAGAGTAATATATATTCTAATTCTTCGACTAGTTTATTCCCTTAATACTAGATCACAACTTATTTAAACTTCTTAGGTGATCTGTTTAGTAGTAAATTATAAGCAGAATGTTAACCTATCAACTTAAGATCTAAATTACATAATCACATAACAAAATCTATACTAATTTGCGTAGAATCTAATTCACGGGAGAAAGAAATTTAGTCGTATGCATAATGGATGAACAAAACAAACATTCCATTATAGATTCATTAGTTGAAGAGTTACAACAATCTCATCGATATTCTCTACTAAAATTAGATGAAGTTACAAGAAAATTTGTGAGTTTACTCTCAGTTGGAGTACATATAATTATGCACAGAGTTGTTCTCTCTCAGGAGAAACTTTGAAGTTACAAGAGTGATTGACGGCTGCGATAATTCTTCGGCGACTCTCTCCAATATGTCTTCTTTCCTCATTGACACTTCAATGCTCAATGAGCTTCAAAGAAAATGGTCGAGGGAAAAGCCCTTCCGACTTTCAAATTTTTTTCTTCCATCGCCTCAGATCGCCACACATACAAGAACTATCATGACTCCCTAAGTCAGTTCGATCTGTGCCAAAGTTTCTCATTGATGTGCCGAAGTTCATTTATTTCTGTGTCATTTCGTTGTGAGTTCTCTACTGTTGGCTCCCTGGTGCCAATTGAAGTGGCGCCTAGGAAATATAGCGTCTTGGCGACAAGCCCTTTGTATGGCTCTTGGGAATGGTGCTTTGATGGGCGCATAGGCGTCAGTGAAGTGGCGCTTAGGCGCCAATGATGTGGTGCCCAGACGCTTGGGTGGTGTATAGGCGCCAATAAGGTTGTGCTTTGGCGCCACTCTATCTAAACTGAATTTCATCTCCGTTGGATTTCTGTTTCAATTAGCTTCTTTTTTATTTGCTCTAATATCTCTTTAATGCATCTTTAAGCTCTCATTAGTACCTGTACCCTAATATTGTATACAAAAATACCTTAAAAAATATAAATAGGGAGAAAAATAATGATGAAACCTACAAGAAAGTGTAAACAAATTATCACTTATTTCACACATGTAAAATTTCGTCAAATTTGTAATTTCAAAATCTAAAATTAGAATATTTCAAAGTGCACTGTTGGTTAGTGATTAAAGATTCAATTCTTCCTTATAATATAGTAGATATATTATAGTCAAAGTGAACTTATTCTTGCTTTAGATTGAAATTTCAATGAACACCTAATATCCCGATATGATAATAGTAATCTCATATCTATATAGTCATCCTAAATTACTTATTTGAAACTTGACTGATATAGAATTAATATTTAATAATAAAATTCAATTATCTACTCAATTAAAAAATTTTAATCCTATTACTCTCTCTTTGAATACAAAGTTTCTAGTATTAACAAGAAAAGTTATTGATCATTTGACTCAATTTTTAATCTGAGCTAATGTTTATGAAATTTTTCTCAAGCTTCTTCTCTAATGTTTATGAAATTTTTCTCATTTAATTATGAAAATTTTCCAAAATTTTTTGCTTCCTCGTTTTTTTTTTGATTTCCCATTTTCATTTTTTTTTGTTGGGTATTACTATATCCCGTTAAGCTCTTTTGATGATTTTGAATCCCAACTCTCTTTTCAAGTTAAATTTTCATTAATAGCCTAATTTAACTTGAAAGTTTGTAGTTCAGGAGATGACAACTAAGAATCAAATCTTTTAAATTAAATAGTGACTAAATTTTATAATATTAAGATATCAATTTTATATATAATGCATATTCATATTGAGATATCAATTTTAATGTAATGCATATTCAATTAAGTTTTTAGGAGTGATTTTAAAGATATGCAATTACTATCGTTTGGGATCATTTATTAATGAACTATGAATCTTTTTCAAAACTTCTAGGAAATTCATGTCAATTTTACTTATATGTTTTACTTGTTAATAGTTTTCGCTTATCCTATACCACAACTACCATCTTTATTTATGTAAATTCAAAAGTTAGATTTTTACTTATAGAGTAATATTAACTCAGACACTTCCCCCCAAACTTATTTTTGATACTATACATGTAAATACTATAGAACATGGAGATGAGCATAATAAGGTAGAACATGAATATACAACAAAAGGAAATTATACTACGAACTAGAGCAAATAAAACTTGTAAATTTGTAAATATCAATAAATATAAATATGCAAGTACGGATTCAAGCTCTAATTCATAAGCAATTCAAATTTTAATATCAAAAACTTGAAGACTGCGTGAGAGGTGTAAGTAGTTTTAGAGATTCTAACAAGCAAAAAGACATTCACAAGCACTAAAAAAAGTAAAGAAAATAATTTGGGTTACCTCCCAATAATCATTTAGTTTAGCGACTTCAACTTGATTAAATCACACACAAACATAATAAAACAAGTAATCGCGCAATCATACTTTAAGATAACGCTTGGGTTGTCTCCTAAGTAGCACTTAATTTTATGTCATCAGTTAGAAAATGTCAAATTAAGCCATAATATTTTTTTGCAGGATCAAATATCCAGTTTACTAATCTTCAATCTATCATCCAATGTTTGAAATGCCATGGAGACTCTCCTAGTGAATTTTATTGTGATCCAGCATTTTCCTCTTTTTGAAATATGAAGTCTTTCTTTTTTTATTCTCCTTTAAAATATCTTGCAACATTTCTATTTCCAATCTCAAATATTAGTCAGGGATATAAGTAGGTGGTGTTATAAGATCATGATTTTGAAAAAATCAATTCTTTAGTTTGTGCTTTAATAGTTAACTCCCAGTTTTGTATGTTAATATTTGTCCAACCAGTTGTAAGAAAAGTTCGGTCGAAAATAATTGGTATCTTCACATCTTCCTTCATATCCAACACATTGAAATGAACAGGGAAGATAAATTTAAAAAGTTTAGATAATTGTTGGTCCAATTTCTGTTTAATCAATCTTTGAGAAAAAAGTGATGTTAGTCTCTCCTATTATATTTAAGCGTTGGAAGTTTTTTTTTTTCTCAAGTCTGAGGTAAGTGTTTTTACAGGTTTATTGGACTCAGACTCTGGCTCCTCTATTCTAGGCTCCTCAAGCAACTTCCCACTCCTAAGCCTTATCACTTTGCATTGCTTCACGCTCTAGTCCTTTGGATTTATCTCTATATTGTTGGTAACGTTCCTTAGGGTATCTAGCTAAATGAGGTACCTATTTGCTCAACTTTTGTTTCAATATTTTGAATGGCTACAACAGGACTTTGAATATGATTTCTCATGTTCAGTACTACTTTTTCCAAAGATTGTTTCTTTTCTTAAAATTGGGGATTAAAAGTGAATCCAAGAGGGTATGTAAGTCTTGGGTTGCCACTACCATGGTTATTCCAATTACCTACAGGGTTGTATTGATTATTACTCTTTTGTTGATTTCATATCCCTTGGTCATTGTTATTCCAATTAAATTTTGAGTGGTTTTTCCAACCTATGTTATAAGTGCTAGAATACGGGTTATTAAACCTATCTCTTATGGCGTTCAAGGTTTTCAAAGAATTAGTACAAGAATCTTTTAGTGGTCCGTAAGTTATTTTATTACTAAGTAGAGATCCTTACATTGAATTAAGGCCTTGGTTTTCTAATTTTCTGGAAATAGCAGCCACTTGTGAGGCTAAGGTTGTTAGTACACTTGTGTCATGCACACTAGCTACCTTTTAATTATTGATTCTATTTGAAGGTCA